GCAGCTTCGTAGGATTGTGCTCCTACTTTCGTCGGTTTGTGCGCAACTTTGCCTCCATTATTGCCCCTTTGACCCAACTTTTAAGCAGTGCCGACGACATCTCATCATGGTATTCCGAATGTGATCACGCATTTACCACTCTTCGCCGTCTCCTGACATCACCGCCTATATTGCGCCACTATGATACCACGGCTGCAACTGAAATCCATACAGACGCCAGCGGTGTCGGTCTCGGTGCAGTTCTCGCTCAACGCAAGCCTGGATCCCCTGAGTATGTCGTCGCCTATGCCAGCAGAACGCTCAACAAGGCTGAGGTAAACTACAGTGTTACCGAAAAAGAGTGCTTAGCCATACTTTGGGCAATTGTGAAATTTCGCCCATACTTATATGGCCGCACCTTTGCTGTAGTTACAGAGACCATGCCTTATGTTGGTTGCTGTCGCTGAAGGATCCATCAGGTCGCCTTGCTCGTTGGGCTCTGCGACTTCAAGAGTATGACATCTGCGTCGTGTACCGTTCCGGCCGCCAACATGCCGATGCTGATGCGCTCTCGCGATCGCCATTGTCGACTGAGGCTGCCTCTATATCTTCTATGGAACACGCGCTGTCTGCTCTTGACATCGACACAATGACCCCTGCACAGCGCGACGATCCATAGATAACTTCGCTTCTGGACGTCTTGTTTGGGGTACCGACACTTCCCATCACTCGAGCAATGCGACGCCAGGCTTCGCACTTCACCATTCGAGGTGGCCTCTTGTACCGGCGCAATTACTCACCAGACAGCAGGAAGTGGCTGCTCGTTATTCCCCGAAAGCTGCGCTCTACAATCTGTGCATCATTTCACTCCGACCCGCAATGCGCTCACGCCGGTGTCTTCAAGACCTACGAGCGTTTAAGGAAGCGGTACTACTGGCGTGGGATGTTTACTTTCGTTCGATAGTTTATTCGCGGCTGCCACGAGTGTCAGCGACGAAAACAGCCACCGAATGCAGGAGCAGCTCCACTACAGCCGCTTGCGTGCCCTGACCGCCCATTCCATCGCGTCGGAATCGACCTTTATGGACCACTGCCTTTGACCACAGACGGTAACCGGTGGGCTATCGTTGCTGTAGATCACCTGACACGGTACGCCGAAACCGCTGCTCTTCCTACGGCGACCGCTCAGGACGTCGCATCTTTCATCCTCCATCGGTTTGTGTTGCGTCACGACCCTCCTCGCGAGCTCCTCAGTGACCAGAGCCGTGTATTTCTATCCGACGTAATCCAAGCACTTCTCCGTCAGTGCCATATTGTACACCGGATGAGTACTGCTTACCACCCTCAGACGAATGGCCTGACTGAGCGGTTTAATCGGACCCTGGGTGACATGCTCGCGACGCATGTGGCATCTGACCAAACGAACTGGGACCTGGTTCTTCCGTTTGCGACCTACGCGTACAACACCGCTACCAAGTCACCACCGGCTTTTCTCCATTCTACCTTCTATACGGACATCAACCATCGCACACAATTGACACTTTGCTGCCATACGCACCAGATGTATCTGAGTGCACGACCGTGTCTGAAGCCGCCCGTCACGCTGAAGAATGCCGCCAACTAGCGAAGCAGTTTACTACGGCTGACCAGTAACGCCAGAAAAAGGCCCGCGATGACGACCACCCTCCTGCCACCAAGTTCGCCCCTGGAACCCTTGTATGGCTGTATGTACCACCCTGTGCACCTGGTTTGTCTACCAAGCTACTTTCAAATTACCATGGCTCATACCGCGTGGTAGAGCGCACATCGCCCGTCAATTACGCCATTGAACCGCTTACGCCACCCGGTGACCATCGTCAGCGTGGACACGATATTGTTCACGTGAACCGCTTGAAGCCGTACTTCGACCCGCTCGTTCCCACTTGTTAGATCGCCAGGAATGCTTGATCTTTCCCGACGGGGGCAATTATAATGACGGAATGATGACAACAAGAGAGAACAGCAAGCATCATCGCAGAGTAAGGCACCACGAGATCGGCGCTCGAGCTCCTCCATCTTCCTCGTCCTGTCGCTATCTCCAATCTCCCACCTGCCCATTTGGTTCGCGAAATAAACCTCTTTACACACTTAAGGTTTTTTTTATTTTACCTTACAACACATATTTATGTGAGTGTCAACTATTTTGTTGACAATTATATGACTGTTGACTGCATGCGTCAGTTTCTGTTCAATTTGTTAATGTCACCGTATATGCTAATATAAGGGTGTTTCTTCAGCAACACAGATTTTCCCATAAAAACTATAATAGCAAAGTACTGGCCAATTTCACAGCCGCTTTCTAGGCCGAGGCAGAACCGCTAAAGAAATCACGGGAAATTGTTTATTTACCCAAAAATCTTTCTATTACCTTTTATTATTAGTTTTAGTGCGGCTGTTTATCAGATACGAAATTGTGCTAAGTTGTGAATGATGGCCGGCCCATTTTTTATTATTGCAACTCTTTTATCTACTTTTCAAGATACATCCTCAAATTTCCAGAACGCGATGAGGGTGAAACTAAAGATAAACGCACAGGGAGCGCTGGTCCCTGTGTTACGCCACGCGCTAGCTGCTTTTTACGTAATCCCAGTGAGACGTAAGACTAACCTGCCTCTGTTTCGCACGTGTTCGTATTCTCGATTGTACATTGCCCATCGTGCAGACGCCATCCGCATTCCAGCACTCACAGGACTGTTAACCCTCCCGCGTAAGGGCGAGCGTCTCACCTATCCCCATGCCCGGGCACCGGGCACCCACCATTACGAGTAAAGGAACTGCACGCGCACTCATCAGACTTAAGGTTGGTGCACACCGGCGACTAGCCGCGGTCGCGCGACCATTTGCGACTGGCGACCAGACTGCGAGCCACGTTCACACCGGCAAGGCTTCATGCGAGCGACCGGAAGTCGCAAACCCGGAGAGTCACGTACAGATCTCGTTATCAACGAGAACTTGGGCGACCGGCGACGATCAGCTGATCAGATACGGAGCCCGCTGAGCGCGATGCGTTTGTTTTTGACGGCTGTGTTTGCGTAGCGTTCTCCCGGCAGCATCATAGACTTCGAGTCGAGTGATGAAGAAGAGGTTGTGGCGGTGCTGATGTGCTCAGCCAACGTGTCAGCGCTGGCAGCACGAAAACGTTCAAAGCAAGCAAGGCGGTGGTGGGTGAGACCGTCCCTTCGCTCGCGAGAAGTGGCTGGCCACACAGGGCGTCTGCTTCCCGACTTGCGCTCGCACGACGAGGAGTATTTCCGAGAGTAAGTTTATGGTTGTTTTACGTGCTTTTAAGATAGTGCATAACATGTTATCTGATTCTTTTTTGGTGGTTAGCTTCATGCGGATGCCGCCACGAACGTTCGACACTTTGCTCGAACTGCTGCGCCCCGCAATATCCAAGCAGGACACAAACCACCGGCCTACAATTTCGGCGCACGACTGCCTGGCCATGACCATTAGGTAAGAGAGTGTGGTTTGAAGATTAATATGCTGTGGCTTGTGGCTGCGCTTCGCTTGTAAGGAAGTTTCGCTTGGGCGGATAGAACGAATTGCATTTATGACGTATGCGGGCTCGATGGTGCAGTCGTTACTGCGGTCGGCAGTTTAGGCGTAAATGAGGGGTTGGATTACGGCCGCATCGATCGCCTTTAGGTGGAGGCGAAATGCACTTAAGTTGGCGCGTTTGTTGCGCACGTACGTTAAGAATCTCAGGTGGTGAATATTTCAAAACCATCTGTTGTGGCTTATTGCGTAATCCGTACGTGGTTTCCGCTTGTAAAATCACAGAAAATGGGATTCTGCGCTACACAATGACATTACATTGGGGACGTGTCAGTTCCCGTTTTCTGTTATCCTGATGCACAGGTACTATATAGAGCGCAATTATGATGTTATAAAATAAGTTAAACACAATCCTCAGCTTTGCGAGTACAATTATGCACAAATTGTTAGGACAAATTGATGTGCTGTTCAAGGCACTCAAAGAGTATTCATGCCAAAAATATTTTTCAGCATCGAGGAGGGAGGAGGATCAACCAACCACCCTTTATGTATCTGCATGCACGACGGTGTGTGTTTGCACAAGTACACATGCGAAATTTCTCACAAACATGAGCAGCGTTTAACCCCTGCACCTTGCTACAATTTTACGTATGTTCTGTTAAATTGACAATGACCCAATACACTGTGGACAGTAGCGCAGTGGCAAAACGTATTGTGGACGGTAGCACATTGTGTGAAAGCAATTTAAACAATAGACTTGATTGATGTACGTTTTGCGAAATAGGTTCTCCTTGAATTTACAGCTTTTCAGAAATCCATGCTAAGCAAATTGCTACAGGTACGTTGAGGTTGCCCTCCTTCAACCTGAGTGATATGAGCACGTACGCTCTTCCATGAAAAGGTTGATGCGTGCTTATGATTCGCCAAAATGTGTAGGCACAGAAATATTCACTGCATATACGACAGCTTGCGGAGTGCACAAGCAGTGCGACCGTTCGCGACCAGTCGCAAATGGTCGCGCGACCGCTCCTAGTCGCCGGTGTGCACCAGCCCTAATTAGGTTTAACTGTACAGCGCAATCGTTCTCTCAAAAGTGTACAATGGTTTTGTCCAAATGCGAGCAGTTGCTGACCTTGGCTGTCATGGAACTTGACATATCGAAATTTCTAAATTTAGTCAATAAATATGCATTCTATCAGAAGCTGTGATGATGCCGTAGAAAATAGACAGCAGAGGTAGCACTCATTAATACATAAAAATGAGGAACACTTTGGCAATGTAGCGTCATGACTACGACACTGAAATGCAACTATGCGTGAGATTTTCAAGCTCAGTATGCTCCTTTTACAGTGTGTGTCTTCCATCATGGCTGTGCCGACAGAAATTTCACATGGCACTTATGCGTTTTAGGTATGCCAGGGAAGTGCGAGATAAATTGGCGCACTACTTCGTCACAGACGGTCAGGTGCTTTGGCAGGACAAACTGGTGAACAGCACTTGAGGCGTACAAGGTGAAGGTGGGTTGTAAATGCATTTTATTGCTTACAGAACTTATGTACATAGCATCTTCTTAAGCTAAACAAACAAGAGAAAAATCACCAGTGACACAACAGATACATTACAGGGAAAACTGTCATGTCCAAATATAATCATGAAAACACAAAAATAAATAATTCATGTTAAAATATTTGAGTTATTGCACGGTTATCACTACAATTATCACAGAAATAAGTTGCCCTAAAGGGGTCATGACACCCAATTTTCAACCATAATGTGTGTTGTATGAGCTGATTCTTGTATGTTCAAATACAAGCTGGCAAAATTCGAGCGATTTGGTCAAGCTGCTAATTTTTAATCGCATATTTTTATAAATGAGCTAGTCGCCTGACAGTTGGGCAATACTGACACACTCACTATTCATGACATCACGAACCGCTTGCTCGACAAGCTGCTGCACAGTGTGCAATCTGGCAGACGGTCCTGTTTCGTCGTCAACTGCGCTTGCAATCAAATTTTTTCGCATTGTTGAACTCTCCACTAAACCTAAATGACTTCCAGGGGTCGAAACATGGCTACTGTGTCAGCAATGTAGCGCTGGTACTTGCAGCAAATAATTTCGGATGTCAAAATGGGTCCTGTGAATGTGCAATGCGTATACCATTTGCCATTGCTCCTTCGGCTTGTGACGTCACGCATGCCATGACAAAATGGCGGTCACTTGTGGTAGATTGAGTTTTAGGAGCCGAGCACTTCTACGGCATATTTTTTATTAAAATGATCTCTTAAGGCCCCTTTTCACACGTGTACTAGCACATTTTACTCTGTAGTTTTGTTTTTTGCTGACAACCGTCAATTGTTGAGTGACCAGTCATGACCCCTTTAAGTTGAGACTAGAAAAGTGAACACAAGATAAAAAAAGATGGGTGTCATTGACATTATATAAACACTTCAATTTGCTTCACTGCTCTGATGCAATTTTGCCTCTGCTTCATACAGCATAAGTTCTACTGCATGCATTACATCTTGTGCAATGTGCACTGGTAGCTCTCTGAGGCGTGCATCGGTTTGTAGAGCGAAGAAACCAATGTTATCTTTTTTGATGACCCCCTTGTTCGCTCTGATGTGTTCAAGGTGCTCCATGCAAGCTTGCGCCACAGCTTCATGGCTTGTGCCCTCTCCTGCATTGCTGCAAAGCAAGTGTGATCTGCGATTCATGCATATGAATGCTTTAAGATTGCATTGTTACTTCATGAAGCACCATTTAGCAAAAAAAACTGTGAGAACGACAAGGTAGAAACAGAAGAAACAAGACAGAGCGCTGACTTTCAACTGATGTTCGTGCTTTTCGGCACTAAGAAAGAAAAAAATATATAGAGGAACTGAAGCAAATTAAATAGCACACTTAAAAGATAAATGTGTCAATAGGGCGTCTACCTCTCTGTGAGAAATAATTGGGCTTTTGATCTTTGAAACGGACACTCGTGTTTTGGAACAGGGTGCTGATGTTCTGATATTAACGCCTAAATATTACGGTAGATACATGGGTTCTGTCTGCCTTAGTATAAATGTGCCCACAATAAAAACATCAGTTTAAAGTCAGTGCTCTATCCTGTTTCTTCTGTTTCTACCTTGTCGTTCTCACACTCTTTTTTGTTACTATGTCTGTGTACCAACTTGACCGAGCGTTAACCTTATAAAGTTTTGTATTTTGTAGCATGCGCAGGATTGTTAGAAAAAAATCTGCAAGTTTATCCTCTAAGAGTTTGTGGTATATCTCACCTAGCGCCCTCGCAGGTCCATTGTCGTCTTGACGAGCGTGACCTGCAGTGAATTATACATATTGCTTAAATGTACAGAAAGAGATCTTTTTTTCGAAAAGTTGTGATTGTGATCTCTTGCCAGGAGTACTTAAAATAATTTTTTCGTTTACACACCGTTTTGATGGTGGCTGCTCTCTTGAGGTGGTTGCTGAAGCATCACTGCAGAAGGAGGCAGTATTATTATACAACTTATAAAGTGTTACAATTGCATGCAGCAGAATCTGGTGTGAAAACATTAGGCACATTCTCCAAATGTGCTAGAACATGAAGAAGGTTACAAAACATGTTTTTAAGATTTAATAAATTGGCTATCTATGCATGCCCTTCATTTGTCATTACTTAGGTGGATTCATAAAGGTTTTACTCATTGCTGCAGGTGTCGACACCAGTCTCCTCAGCCGTATCAGGGGTACGTTCCGGTTCCGCTGCATGGCTTGGCCGAGGCGGTGATCTGCAGTGACGAAAACTTCTCTCTATGTATTTGATGATGCCACTAGTACAGGAACAGTTTTAGGCATTCTTCGGGAGTTAAAATGCCATTATGATTTCACTCAACACGAGGTTTATTTTACACTTGCGTTACCTCTTGATTGAGCACTGCTGTATGGAAGGTGTGCATACAGAAGTTTAATGTGCCTATTATGTTAATAAAATGCTATGTAGGTTGCGCATTTAAATGAGAACAAGAGATATTGTCACGGAGATGAAGTAAAGGTAGAGGAAGAACTCAAGCAGCTGATAAGCACGCGAGGGTGTTAATCAGCCATTGTGAATCTTGCCTGTGGGTTTTCCCCTGTAAACGCATTTTGTACAAAAGTCTCTAACCCCGTAACAATATCTCACTGGCTATGTGAATGAAATTTATACAGTCAATCCAAAATGGCTGTGCAAACGATGTGTCTGATGAAACTGTGCCTGCTGTCATTATGTTTCTTGAACACATGCTGCATACGACTTTTGCAGCATCATTTTACTGCTAGGAATGAGTGAATGCTTCACATTATTCAGCTCACTTGTATTGCAATAAGCACTGGGCACTTGTTCATAATGAATTGACATGAATGTGTTGCCAGTGTATGCAGATAATGCACTAGTTTGCTTAATTGCGGCCTGTCGCTGATGAATACTTTGCTTTTTCAGAAATATTTGACGTTGTACAATAACCACATTCACACAGAAACATTGCCTGTGCCCTCATGTATTCCTGTGTGCTTTTGTTCAGTGTTGAGTGCTGAATGTATTTAAAAAATTGCAGTGGTTTGGGCAAGCTAACGACCTGAACACCGCCTTTCAAGCATGCTTGTATTTTTCATAATTTTGCAAAGTACAATCACCTAGTAATAAAAAATAATGTTTCTAGGTTCAAGTCCATGCGTGTACGGCTTCAAGTGCATGCACATGGTACCGAAAATTTTTGTGCATGCTCACCTCTCGTTAGCCTCTTCTGCTGTGATGTGGCTGCTGCAAGAGAACATGCAATATGTGATTCTGTCAGTGCTATTGTTTGCATTTTTAGAGCATTTTCACTGTTTTGCTACAATATAAGTACTTATGCTGCATTCTTGTAATGGATATGTGCAATGCTTGTCTATGAACAGCCTCATGACACGTGCAATAAGCGATCTCTTTAGATTTTTAGATTTTGTATTAAGCCTTCCTTCTTTTGGTAAATGAGAGCCGAGAATGACACAGAAAGTACACTCAATTCTCTCATTCTTACTGTTCTGTCTTCAAAATTCTGTTTTGTGAAGCTGTCCACGTGTTACTTGTACGATATGCTATATTTTTTGCATTGTGCTGATGCATTGTGCAATGCTAACCAAAACATTTCATTTTCTGTTCAATGAAGGGTAAGCATTATTCATTACCTTTGGTCAATGGCACTCATGTTGCACAGTACCCTGAAAGAATGATGCACAGAGTTATTCTTCGTAGCTGTAGCCACAATTACTCGACATCAAAACAGCCCATTGCCACCATGTTCATGATCACATGCATGCCCACTGTGAATTACCTCTTGGGACTTCTATGTTTATGTGCAGTGTACTTATGTGTATTGATATGTGTGTATTTATGTGTATGTATAACAGTCATGTGAATTAAATCAACATTTTTTTTGTTTAGTACTCAATAGTCAGCTAATATTGAACTTAAGCCACAGGCTCAGATTCTCTTCCATTAATTCAAGCATGGCCTCAAAATGGGGCCATTTTATTGTTGGAATGTCGGCTGCTCTGGCTCCACTTCTTTGTCTTTCACGTATGTCTTGTTGTTTGCTTTTGAAGATATCACGCAGGTTCTTTAATCGTTTCTCAACAAGGACACCTGAAAACAAAACCCTTGCTGTAAGAATGTATTGTGCATACTGTATTGCTGACAAATTTTCTACTTTATTTCAGCACAATTGTGAGCGGTCTTTATTTTTTTTGCCCAGATCATTTCGGCTGTAGCACCCTAGAAATCTGAATATTGGGCATCAAAATGAATCGCATGCCATCTAAACTTAAGTATTGGTAGGCGCTTAAACATTGCAAAATCTCTGCCCATGATTGAGGGAACCTGCAGCCGAGGGTTCCAGAAATGCCGCCCACCTAGTGTTTTCGACCGTCCACCTACATGTGCACGACATCACAGCTGATGCAATGATTAGTTGCGCAAAGAGTTATGGACACTGTTTCTTGAAGGTAAGCATGTCTGCCAAGCTATTGTAACAAAGAGGCTGTTTATACTGTCGGCAATTGAAGTTCACTTGCAAAAAGTCTATTTCATGAACCAGCACATGATGTCTTTATCACCTTCAGAGTGAAACTTTCTAAGCATTACTGCATTGTGCAAAACTCCACAGGTGAGTATATACCATTGGTATCGGCCAAGCGAAACTGTCGTGTACAACGGGAGCGATTGTTGTCAAACAAAATCAAACATGTTAAATAACTTGAAAAGAAGGATGAAACTAACTAGAGCAAGATGACAATTTTTGAGAGAAAGAAATGCAACAAACATAGTATATGACTCAAAGTGTAACATAGAGAGAGCGAGAGGAAGGAAATTATAAGAAAATAAAGGGACCAAAACATGAAAACATACCAACACATAGAAGCAGACATGAAAAATTGACTTTAAAATATAGGAACAAATAAAACAAACATAAACGAGGCACAGTTGGAAGCCGAGAGATATAACCTGTGGGAATAAAGGAATAATCGAAATATAAAGGCACCAATAGACAAAAACACAGAAGAGGAAAGCAACAGTTGTGAAGAAATGAGGATTAGATATGGGCCACATTACAGAGGAATAAATTCCCTCATCTGTGCTTTCCTTCAGTGTTCGCCCAGCCACTAGAACACTACCATACCTTTTTTTTTACGATTGCATGTCATTTGGCATCAACAGCAGACTCCCAAATCTGAACATTTGAGAGTGCTGCTAAATATGTTTTGTATGTCTTAATTACACGCTCCTCTATGGAGTGCACAAAATGCGCTCAAAGCAGAAGCTACTTTGCATTCTTTTTTAAAACAGCACAACTGCAATGCATTGGCAGTAACACGCTTTAACACCCCCCCCCCTCCCTCACCGCGCACTAGATATTATGCATTCGAAATGCCGCACGTTCACAAAAGCACGCATTCCCTTGGCCAGACGATTACGTACAAACACAGCAAGGAGCATGCGCTAGGTGAGTTGGCAACTGCGAGCAGTATTTTGAACGTCTGAGCTTTATTATCATCTATACAATGTTCTGTCATGTTGATTTCGATGTTAAACTCGGAAAGTCGCGGAGAATAAACGTGCACACAACTGCGCTCGCATACATCACAGTCAATACATCTCATGCAAACTAAAACCTTGCAGTACAAATACCAATATTTTCATTGTTCATTCATTGGCAACGCCAGCCATGCAGTACACACCTGTTCTTGCTTATATAGCTACTCAAACAAAAAATCTCGGTACTTACTCGACATGCCGAACATGCTTCCGATCTCTGCCCAAGCCCGGTCCTACTTTGTCCGATCTTTAAAAGAAGGGTGCCGCTTGTCATACAGATATGGGTACATTTTAATCGCGTCGATGAGGAGCTCGGCCGAGTACCCAAAGCTGGCCGTGGTGGCATTCGCCTAATGCGAGGAAAAATCCACGGAGGAACGTACGTGTCGTTCGTACCTCACGGCAGTAGGCAAGCGCAACGAGAAAAAAAAATAACATACGAGGTGGCCGAATGTAAACAAAAGCTGACGTCACTTCTGGTCTTCCCTGATTGGTTAAACTGTTTTGAGACTGCAGTCGCGCGACCAAAAAATCGGTCAGGAAGCGACTGGCCAAAACAGTCGCTTTGCGACCGTTTGCGACCGTTCGCGACTTCTTGCGACCAGTCGCAAATGGTCGCGCGACCGCGGATAGTCGCCGGTGTGCACCAGCCTTTAGGATGGCCGCGCACCAATACGCTCCGTGCCGTCTACTCTCACCTGCCAGAAAGAAATTGTCCAGACAGTACCGGGCCGTCCGCAGGCCGCCAGGATCACAAAAAACACATGCACCCGAGCGTTCCCGAACCAATGGGTGGGATCCCCAGGAAACACGAATGCAACGCCGGTGTCCTGAGCTGTCCGAGATGTGTAAACAAAAAAAAAACAACGCATACAGTTAACAGGCACGTATTTTTCCGCATAATAGTCAACAGTCACATATATATGCGTTGTCACGTTAAAAAAAAAAAAACCGAGTGCACTGATATTCGCTAAGCATTCCTCTGTTTTCAATAAAAACTTTCAGTGATTTTACAGCAAACTTCTGGAAACCTCTTGTTGGCCATGTCCTCAAAAGCTTCCTTAAACTGAATGATCTGGAATCTAAAGTGATTAAGGATGATCTAAGCCGGCATCTTTGTGCTTCATGTTTTGGGCATTGCAAAAAGCAGTAATATATGTCTTCATCTACAAATACGCAATGACAATCAGAAGTTTCAGCGCACCTAATTTTGTGTTGAACTTCTTCCGAAATGGACGGGCATTGATCAGTCTATAAAGTTAATCCCAGTTGAGTGATGTCAATTCATGTGAGGCCAATGCTTAGGAAATCCGCTTTTAAAAAAGAAATGATTTGAATGATATCATTCAGAGCATACAACTTTCTGAAAAGTGAGTAGGTTATCTCAATTGCACACCTTTCATGTCATCATCATAATTTTAATATTTATAGGTACCTTCGGCAGCTTTAGTGACGAGAAAAAACTGGCAGATCCCATGTACAGTGTAAATCGCTGATATGCAAAGCACGAATGAGGAAGCTTGATATGTAACTTTAAAATCAGCACAACATTACGAGGAGGAAGTAAATGATGCCGTACGTGACTGTCATGTCATGATTGTCACGTTTGGACGTGTCATTTACTTTCGTCGTCTGTTCACGTCACCTGATGTCGAACTTGGTATATGTGCAGACAGTGAAATGGCCGCGTGAACGCTAAGTGTGTAGCATGTAGTAATGTTTTACACGACACGAATATCATGATTATCATGCTTGGACATCTCCCATAAGTTCGTCATCCATTCAGATCCCATAATACCAAACCTGGTATCTGTCAAGCTGGCGAAACAGCGGCAAGGTCACCAAACGTTGAGGCGCGCCCACGCTGGGCGCCGTGATGCTACGCTAGCAAAACGCGAGTACTCTATTGTCTGACATTGGGCAAGACCAGCGTCTGTCGGCGAGGCCTGCCGGCAACCATCTCGAAATGCGACACGCTGCATTTCGCGCTAACGACGTTACCAAGACAGTACCGCGTCTGCTTAGCTTCGTGACAGAAGGACGCTGGGTGCGCTCAAACGCACATGCGTCATAGCAACGCATTGCGGCGTGCGCCTGTGGGTATATGCCATGCAGATCGGCGCCTGGCGTGGCATCGCCAGCCTGACGAGAGGAAACGAACGCCAGCACGCACGCGTGCCGGGTCACGCCAAAGTGTTTTCGGGCCTTGAGTGTAGCACGTAGTCATGTTATTACATGACATGCATTTTATGATTACCATGTTTGCACCATTCACATACCTTCGTCATCCATAGACGTCCCATAATAGTAAATTTAGCATATGTGAAGCTAGCGAAACGGCGACGAGCGCATCATGAGTGTGTCGTGTAGCCTTGTTGTTACACAACACGCATGTCATATTATCATATTTGGACGTGTCTTTACGTATGTCATCCGTTCGCGTCACGTAATACAGACTTTGATGCATGTGAAGTAGCGAAACGGCCGCGAGCACATCATGAGTGTGGCAGGTAGTCTTGATGTTACATTACACGCGTTTCATAACTATCATGTTTACAGCAGTCACATACCTTCGCCATCCATTCACGTCACGCAATATCACATTTGGTGTATGTGAAGGAAGCTACCGCAACGTCCGCAAGAGCATCATGAGTGTGGCACGCAGTCATGTTGTTGCATGACACGCTGCTCATAATTATCATGTTTGAACCTTTCGAACATATACTTATCATTATGTTGTGATATGTGCGTATAAGTGTGTCTTTGCATATCTGTGCCCGAGTGTTCTATTTTTCATGCACAACTTTGTATGTTTTACTTCAAGATACGTGTTCAAGTTTCACTCAACGGCTAAGCAGTAGCCAGCGCCATAATGGTGCGCCAAGACCTCCCTATATATTATATAATAAAAAACAGTCATATATCTTCGTTATTCATTCACGCCCCATAATACAAAACTTGGTGTATGTGCAGCGAGCGAAATGTCCGCGAGTGCATTATGAGTGTGACATGTAGTCATGTTTTTACATAACACGCATATCATTATTATCATATTTGCACCAGTCACGTATCTTCGTCATTCATGTCCCGTAACACCAAATTTGGTATATGTGAAGCTAGTGAAACGACTGTGAGCGTAACACGAGCGTGGCGCGTAGTCATGAATCATAACTTACACGACATGCATATCACGATTTTCACGTTAGGGTCTGTCACTTGTGCTCGCCATGCAGTCATGCCATACCATGCCAATTTTGCAACATGTCATGTGAATAAAACCACCGCAAGAGCAGCAAGACCTGGAAATGTAAATCATGACAATAATGACATACATGTCATGATAGTAACCTTCTGACTAGTCAATTATGCTCGTCATACAGTCATGTTATGTCA